GCTCTTTCTGTCGCTATATAGCGTAATCTAATCGCACTTACAGAACAGGAGATACGGACAGCTAAACTTATATATTTCAGAAAATGTTTATTTTTTACTAGACCTCGTTAATAACGCATATAAGGTCCTTTCGAGCCTTAGACCAGATTAGTTAACCATTGAACAGATACTTACTATGTGTCAAATCTTGGAGGGGACCCGTGGAAAAGGCATCAGCACGTACCACCCCTTCGTCGATTTTAAGCATCCTTCGACACCCCGAATAGGAGCTTCCCTTACGCCGCTATGTCTGAATTCGGTGTCCACGCAAAACTTATTCGGCTGTGTAAGCTGACGCTAGACAACACCAGAAGCGTAGTCAGAATTGGGAAGGACCTCTCCGAGCCGTTCAATACTAAACGAGGTTTCAGACAGGGTGACTCTTTTTCGTGTGATTTCTTGATTTTGATGCTGGAGAGAATAAGTACCAGAGAATATAAGTAAGGACTCCAGAGAAATTGAGCTTCAGTTGAGCTGGCATATTACTGCACAGTGCTGTTATGGGGGAGAGAACGTCCGCTGATCTGATCTGATTGCATACGAAAAATGTGAAAAATAAACTTGTTTTTTTTTTTTGTTTAATCTGTGACTACTATTTCTCTGAAATAACAAAATAAAGGCAGATGAAGCTTAAATTGATTAACCTTTTTTAAAAAATATAAATAAAAATAAAAGGAATTGAATAAATCTCTTTAAAATTAAAAAAAAAAAATATTACCCTTTTTATAAATTTATTTTTTCATTTAATAAAAGGAAGAACTTTTTGGGAAATTATACATTAAGAATGTAATTTATATTTAAATATATTTTCTATAAGTAATTCAGTAAGCAAGTGAGTGCGCACATTTCATGTGGCTTTGAAATATTTCTTTTGTTTTTCGTTGAACTTGATTTTGTATTTGCACGAATTTACTTTTAAGCATTTTCTTTGACATATTTGCAAGCCTATTCACACGCTAAGAAATTCTACGAATTTTTTTCGCGTTTCCTTGTTGAGTCAATGACATTATTGACATACAAATTTGTAAATGAAAATGAGCGAATAAAAAAAAAATATTTTTAATTAGTTTTTAATTCAAAAGTGCTCTGACAAGAAATGCGGTTGAGTCGAAAGAAGACCAAATAATATAAACAAAATGCAGGAATTTTTCGGCCAAAAGGGAAAAGCAAAAATCAAATGTCAAATTACGCTCAGAGCACAAGCCAATTGTCAACGCCATTGCAGCGTTGCATCCGCTCCAAAAATTTCTGGAATACATTTCCAGCGTTTGCATGTGAACGATGCCAGCTTATGCATGCTATGTTATGTTCTTCTCGCCAGGCTTTAGGCCACAAGTGGTAGATAGCGAGATGCTGCAGTAGCTTGCAAACAGATGGCGCTGTCAGCTCCGGCAAATGGAAGCTTGCGCAATAGCTTTTTAGTTGTGCAAGTTTCACGTGAATATGCGAATGAAAAATGTTGCTGAAGCTGAGCACTATGGCAACCGGCTGAGAGCGTAGAGCTTTCAAAAATAAAAGAAGAAGATAAAAGCTCATGCAAAGAAAGCGCAAGTGAAGGATGAAGAATGCAGTAATGCATGAAATATGTGACGAAAGCAAAAGTTTAAAGTCAAAGTGAAAGTAAAAGTAAAAAAGCAGTTTGTGCGCAGAGAAAAGTGGAAATAAAAGATAAATAAGTGTTTTGCTAAAGAGAAAGAATGCAAAAAAAAAGCGCAAAAAATTGCATTGCAGCTTTCTTTACAAACTCCCTTCGAACAGTATTCCGCGCTTCAGCAGGCAGTTTTTAAATTTTTTAATTTATTTATTATATATTTTTTTTTTAGTTGCTATTCGTTTACATTTAAAGCGAGTATTTAAGGGCCGGCTATGTAAATTTGTTAGTCTGTAAAATAGTTGGAAGCGAAATGCGAATATTTGCTGTAGCTCAACAGCCCACCGGTGCGTATGAGTATTTGTCCAACGAGCAACGGGGCTCGAAGCTTTTATATACAGTTTTATGTACATATATGCCATATATAATTTACATAGGCATTTGCAAGTACATATAAAAATATGCAAATGTTTATATGTAAATATATTCTGGTGCTTTTCTATCTATGTATATATGTACATATGTGCTTATAATGTACTTTTCTATATACAATAGATATGTAGCTGTGTATGTGTACTACTGTCATATACTGTACAAATTGTTGTTATTGTAAAATGATATGCCTCGCTTGGATGGAAACTCTGCTTTTACACAGCAATCCCTGCATCTGCACTGCACATTAATGATGACGAAGGTGCCGACCTAGAGGTCAAAACGCTTAGAATATTTCGCCTGAATGCATATGAGGCCACAAAGCGGCAACATATAATATTTTATGAGTTTCTAAAGAAGTGAAGTGTGGCGCGTATAAATCAATGAAAATTCTCAAATAAGAAAAAATATTTAGTTTAATTTGATAGTTTACAGTACATGGAAGTGTATGTGTCTCGGGATCGCCATTCGCAGGTGCCAAGTGCAAACTGCCAAGGTGGGTTAATGGACACCGCCTTACATAGCATAGTTACATAGTTCGGGGAACCACATCATTATAAAGATTTAGCTAAAGGGGCTGTGTTGACATTGAGAGAATATCTAACGCAATCTTCCGTGCACTTAGAATGGCGAAACCCACATCTTGATCGCAAGCTTAATAAAGAGAATCTCCCAACGGGTTGTTTAAAATGCTGGAAAGTGGTGGCTGCAAGGTCGGTTACGCAAATGATGTAGCACACCGTAAGTCGCATTAAAATATGACTTGCTCTATTTAGTAGAATACGTGTGGTCTCCGTAGCGATTCGTACTTCAGTAGGAGGCCTTTGCTTTCATTTATCAGGGAATGTGAAGCCTTTCTGATATGCAGACATTGTGGAAACGAAGACACAGTCATCGGTTGCCTCACATTGTTTCAAGACCACAATCGTTAAGAGTTTATTGCATTTACACAGCGAAAGTCAAGTCTAACTTCTGATTGTTTGTGGAGTTTTCCTATGCTCACAGTCGCTAGTAAGAGAAACTTTTACTGAGTAGCAGAAAACCCTTCAACTCACAGCTCTCCACAGCAGCTATGGTATATTTCGTTGTACTCTACAAGAGTCTGCGGTTACTGCCGATTGTGTTTGTGTTTGTAAAACTCGATGTAAAAGGCTTAGGGAGTCTGGATCATGAGTCATAGGCTCTAACGTTCCGCTGCTTTTGAAGGGTTCTTGGGCTACTTAATTCACAAGCTAACGCCAAGCTGAAGAAATAGTCTCGAACATAATACCTTCACGCGAGGTCTGGAGACGACATAACGACTGGAGGAAAGTGCCACTTAACTTCTTCCCGAACGGGTCGTATCTTGAAGGCAGACTCGGTATATAAGACTTGTGATGTAGTGTTTTTCATGCGCAATTAGCTGTTATCAAGGAGACACACATAAACTGGGTAACGCAATGTTTCGAAGTGTGGGAATTACATGGCTGATGTAGGATCAAGCGAAAAAAGGCGTTCCTCAAAGGTAGGTCGTGAAATTTCAGAAAAGTGACTTTTCTATCAGAAGATGAAACCCTCACGATCTTAATGAGAGTTTTGATTGGGTTTTTTTCTGGAAGACTCAAAAATTCTCATCATAACGGGCGTGCCTGTAGTGGGATCTTCCTAGGGTCTGAAACTTCTACTTGTTTCCTAACACAATAAATTCGTTTCTTGTGCGTGTTTCGATTCCCTGAATGAAACTAGTAAGTCACGTCGTGTCCTTTTTACCTCGTTCATCAGAAATCTTATAGAATTTCGCAGCGCATATGATCTGGCAACCAGTAAATGTGTACACTTCTTTAGTCAGCCCTCACGGCCTTCAAACTCATGATCTTGATCATCAGACCGCTGCTAAGCTAAAAGAGAGAAAGAACATCCATTCCTCTGGAAGGAAAGGCCAAACCAATGGTCCAGTAAGAGACGGACTGGACTGTCTCAGTAGCCAAGTATAAAATATGTATGAATTTGGCCGCGCTTCTCCTGCAATGGAGGGACCTACAGTTTATACTTAGCCTCCTTCGAAGGGCTATTGGCTATTTAATATCAGAAGTACACTCGGAAGGGCCGACATTCTCTACAGAGTGGGCGGCCGCAATTAAAAAAAATTAGCTTTATTTTTTATCAAAATCAAATTTCTATAACTTTGGTATTTCGGTCGTACCAGAATTAGTAGTAAAAGACAAATACGAAGCATAAAATGGCAGGGGAAGGCTGTGGACACCAAACCCTTCACGAGTTCAGCGCCAGCTCTGTTTAAAGATGGCTCAAAACTCAATGAGAAAGCATGTTGTGACTACCGACGCTCCCAAATTTTCAAGATCATGACACTGCCAGAACACTGCAGTGTTCGCGGAACTTATTGTAATCCAGGGAACAGCCGCTTGGCTGCTCAAATCTACTATTATAAGGCAACCAATTGCTTTATGTTCTGACAGTCCAGCTCCTATCAGATATCTACAATGCAACGTTGGTAAGAAATGGTGAAGTCATCAGAGCAAACTCTCTCCAAAACGCTGCACAGAGAAGCTAGCGCGGGTAGATACTCTTCCATCTGCAGTTGTATCCGTGTCTACAGCAAAACAGAGGCCATCTAATGCTCGGCTGCATGAGATCATGTGTAATTTCTCTTTGAATCGGTTAATGGTGTCAGGATCTTTGTCGTATTTGTTGGAAGAAGAAGAGGAACAGCTTTATGAACACTACAACCGTCACTTTCCAGCCTCAATTACCTCACGAAACAAGTTCCTAGGGATGATTGTCACTTTGAGTTGGTTCAGCTGATATTAGTACTCTCGTAGGTTTTACCAATGGACTGCTTATTTAAGGTTTAGTAAATCTCTGGCGGTATGAGACTAATAAAATTTTTTAAAAACTATTTTCTTCCGAGCGCCTTCTGGTTCTCTCATATCACTCAAACAACTATTTTTTGAATTTTTAATATTCGCTAAAGAAAATCTTTATTGCTTCCATTTCAACATTTCAATTCGGCACAGTAGCAGCACCATTGCTGTGTATGCACGAGTTTTCGGCTATCCAATCTTTGTAGTATGAGATCTTCGTAAAGCCATCGGGTACGGCAACACCGCAATTTGATGTATGATAACTAGCAATGCCGACCAGAATGCCCCTGTAAACCGCAGGACCACCAGCATCACCGCCACAAATGCCATAACCGTAACTCTTAAACAAACAGAGTATACTCGGTGCAACTTTACCGAATATACGTGTACAATTCTCATTACTATATGTACGCAATGAGCGACTGTATTGCAGTAGTTCGGGTTTTGTGCCGGCTTCACGAACGCGACCCCAACCGGCGATTGTGACAGGCGCTTCATCGGGCACATCAACACCAGCCAAGGGAATCGGTTGTATCACATTGCTATAGTTGAGCTTTGTGTCGATCTTCAGCAGAGCAATGTCATTGTTGTAATCCAGAAAATCGGGATGCACATTAACTGTTGCCACGCCAACAACAACACCACCGCTAGTGCGATTCACAGAGCCGGCTCGTACGCTGAGGAAACTTGGTAGCAGACTTGCGTGGTAGAAGAGAAGAGAGTATTTGTAATTTTGAATAATTACAGTTTTTCTTTCTTTCAATAGTTTTTTCTTTTTTTTTGTTTTGTTTTACCTATAAACACATTGCGCTGCGGTGAGGATATATTTCTGTGAGATGATCGTGCCGCTACAGATGTGATCTCCGTTCACGCGCACAGAGACCACATAGGGAAATTGATCTGCCGCAGCAGTAAAACCGCCAAGGATGCGTGGCTCGGGCGTTAGATCATCGAGCCCCGTGCTGACGAGCTCTTCATCGATTTGTATGGTTTCAGCGACCAGACAGAAGAAAATTAATAGTTTCGCTAGAAAAATGCGATATTTCATTTTCCCGATTTTATTTTAAACTTTCGCGGAGAACTGTTGAAACTGTTAGCACAAACTATTGCAAGATTCCAGGTGCTTTATATGGCGGTGGATGTACTGCTGCCCGAATTGGCAGCGCATTTTATACAAAGCTCACAGGCAGAGAGGTCATTAATAAGCGATTAGTCTGTCGAGTCTAGACTTCAAACTTTTTATCTGTGCAAATTATTCAAATTATTTGTGTATTTCCTAAAACTTTCTTTAAAAATGTTAAGCGAATTGTGTTTATAGGGGTTTTTCCCAGAAACCACCTAGAAAATATAATTTTTTTCCTTTTTTTACCAAAATCGTTACTAAGTAATGGCGAATAGAGTTTTTGACTGCCATTCTCCTGGGAGTGGCCAGAAACTATTCTTTTCATATGGTTCAAACAGCTCACGACTTCCGATCTTAGACCAAGTATCCACTGGTTAGCTAACAAACAACCGTTTAGAGGCGAGATAAAGTGAGAAGGCGAATCCCATGCGGTTGTGCGTAGGGCTTGGCACCCACCACATGAAAAACCAAATCCAATGAAAAATTTAAATTACCCTCGGATGAGAGACCCCCGCAAATGTTTTAACGATTACGATTTTAGGGCAAGCACCAGGGATCTCCGGTCCATCATTATTGATTATGGCTTCATAATGTCAAGGTCTGACATCACCGCCGTCCAAAAAATGCTCTTGAGGGGACAAGAACGGAAGAAGGTGGGTCCTTGTGAAATTTATTACAGCGGCCATATAAAGGAGCGAAAATTTGGTGTAGGATTCGTGGTGGGAGAAAGACGGCGGATGAATCCGCATCAAAAAGAAATTCTTTAACACCACGACCTGACGGAATAGAGGAATGACTTGACCAAAGATGCCTTTTCTCGATCGCCTCGAAACACTAATGAGCGCTGCTCCCGCCACGACGTCCAAATTGTGCTTGGCGTCTTCAAAGCTAGTGTGGGCAAGGAAGGTAGTTTTGGTACGACTACTGGAAAATTCATCCCCCACGACGAAGCATTCCCAAATGGGCAAAGGCTAATCGATGTCGCTGAGGCCCGAAATATGGTTGTCCGTAGCACAAGAGTCCAGCACAATTATAACGGCCGTCAACAAACACATGGAAGGTTCGACGTTGAAAAGCCGCAATCACGACGGACTGCCGAGCGGTTTTCTATTTGACTTGCATAGCTGCTCACTGAGAGCACTCACCAGCAACTCGGTATACGGGACCTGTGGCACAGCATCACAATCTCAATACGTACAGCTACAAAAGAAACTATTATATTTCGCAAGGATCGCAAAAACAGCTGGTACGATGAGAAGTGCAGAGTCGCAGTGTAGAGAAAACAGACTGCCTACCCCGCAAACCTGAGGTTGACCACAACACATGTGGGGTGGGGTAGATACTGAGAGCTGAAGAGGGAAGTAAGACGCATTTATAGTGAAAAAGAGAAGTAGGACGAGTTGCGTGAGCACAAAGAGTTGAGAAACTTGATGATAAGGATAACACTACCGAAAGTTTTAAGGCCGGATCAAACTCTTCTAGGATCCAGAGGGGTGAGCCAGTGACCCAGAAGGGTGAGCCAGTGACGTATGCCTAGAGTAAGCTGATTTTATGGGAAAAACCCTTCTCCATTCTGCTGAATGGCAGCGAAAATGATATCGCGGAGATGGTAAGCCCGAAACTTCAATTGATGACAATGGAAAAGATGTTTCGTTACCCGACTATGATGAAGTCCGAATATAAATCGCCCACCTTAAGAACAACAAAGCGGCGGGGACCGATGGATTACCGGCCGAGCTATTCAAGTACGGCTATGCAGAACTGATCAGATTCATGCATAAACTTCTTTGCTTCTTTGGTCTTTGCCAATTATTGTGGGATAAGCTTCCTTAGTATCGCGTATAGGGTCCTCTCGAGCATATTATGTGAAAGACTAAAGCCCAACGTCTACAAACTTATTGGGCCTTATCAGTATGGATTCAGACCTGAAAAAACCCACGAAAAGGGGATCGACATCCACCACCTTCAACAACACGAACGGAAGCTGCCTCCACGCCACTATATATTAATTTTTTATCCCCGAAAAACGTATACGGCTGTGTAAACTGACCTTAAGCAGCACTAAGAGTTCCCTTTGGATCGGAAAGGACATCTCCAAGCGATTCGATACCAAACTAGGTTTTAGTCCAAGTGACTTCTTTAACTTATGGCTGGAGAAAATAATAGGAGCTGCAGAATTGAATAGAGAAGGTACAATCTTCTATAAAAGTGCACAGCTGCTGGCGTACGCTGATGATGTCGACATTATTGGTCTCAACAACAGCGCCGTGCTTTCACCTGCTTTGTCCAGACTCGATTAGGAAGCCAAACAAATGGGTCTGGTAGGGAATCAGGGCAAGACGAAATATCTCCTGCCATCAAACAAGAGGCGAACACCGCAGTCGTTGGACTGATGTGCTCTACGAGATAGACGTTGCCATTGAAATGTTTCAGTGAATGAAGAGACAGCGGCTTCCTTTGTCTTTGTAATCTGTAGTTAAACGTCTCGTAAAAGGTATTATGTGAAAAATACATAGACTAAATCGAGATCGTTTACTGAAAGGAGCATAGTTCGAAGTATTTCAATTAAATTTTTTTCGGGAGCTCTCCGGCTTGAGTCTAAACATTTTTATAAGTTGTTATCTTAGAGAAGTATATTATCTATATTTTTGAATGGAAATTTTAATACTCATAAAATACATACGTACAAAATCCCGTTTCAAAATTGCCTTATGTGCTGTATTTCATTTTAAAGGTCACACTTACCTGTAAAGACAGAAAAAATAATAGCAATTAAAATATATTCTTTTTCAATAGTGAATCTTTCAGTAATTATAGTTTATACATTGTAGTATTGAAAAATTATTGTAGGTCTAAGAAATTTAAGTATAATCTATATATGTAAGCGACCACCTGACTTGATTTTTTCCGGGACTAAAGACCAGACTTATTCCAAAAAATCGTGTTTATGGTTCAATTTACTTCCCTCCGTGAAAAGGCTGACGACCGACCTATTCTAAAAAGTGGAAGTTCGGTGCTTAAGTAAACCTTTACTTAGATATGCAGGGAGACGACTCTTCTCTACGATATGTGGACTGGAGACCGAACTATTCCAAGCAAACCTTACTTGAAACCCGTTATATATGTGGCTTTTTGGCTAGGCTAACAGGATTACTGCACTTTTTTCCCGAAAAGTGAACCATGAACTGACTTCTTTGGTTAAATCGTATTTATAGTTCTTTTTACTATTTGAAGACAAACATATTTTCATCGTTTGGTGTGGTACATTTTTTCTATAATAAGCCTGGAAATAAACCAGAGATCTGAAACCAATTTCCTTCTTTACAGAAATGTGATCACCGACGATTGCCCGGTCAGAGCTGAGACTGTACTCTAAGGATCTTAACATTTTCTTCTCTTTTCTTTGTCAACCAAACGAAGCCATCACGTTTCTATCGGCGGTGTAAGGCATAAAGAGGCACCGTAGAGTTCCAAGCAGGCATATAATCGCACAGCAATAATGCTGATTTTAGCCCCAGAAATACCATATCGGGAAGGTCGCTGGCTTACTTTAGTTTTCCATAACTCGGCTTCTTGGTCTAAAAATATTTCTAGCAGCGTAAAAAACTACTGAGTTGACCATGTCAGCAGCAAACCTTGATTAACTCGAAGCGGTGTTGAAATATCGTTTGCCAACAACAAAACTCGCTTTTTTCTTTTCACTTGCCAATTATTATCTATTAAGTCATTTTGATAGAAGATGCATATGTGCATACATATATACTGATATTTGCTGGTATTGAAAAGTATGCTAAAATTATAAATTCACATCCATGACACCGCCCAGCAGAGGACGTTCGGCATAAATATTCGGCTGCTCTTTACTAAATGAAACATTTCGAATTTTAATAGTGAAATATATCCTTACATATATACGTATTTATGAGGGGATTAACAAAAGTTCGGTAAGTTGACCAGAAAAAACAATGTTTGTATTTATTCCTAATCTTTGATCTCCTTTCTGTTCTCTACACAGTCGCCCTTGATTTCAATGCATTTCTTAAGCCTATAGATCCACTTCTGAAAACCGTTTTCAATATCTTGGTTTCCACGCATACCAAATTCAGCATTAGTTTTTTGTAAATTTCCAAGCACAAGCTGCTATAGTTGGGATATGGTGCTAGAGACATTTCTTCGATCACAGAGATCGCAATAAAATTACTCCTTTTTATCGAATTTGTTTAGGAAAAGTTGAGGAAAATGCCCTGAAGCCTCTTTTTGGGTCTCACTTGAAATTCGTGGTATCCATTGATTAGATTTTTTCCTGTATCCCAGATGATTACTTTTATAATATTCTCATTACAGCCATGGCATTGAAGCCCAATTCATTAGCAATCATTTCTTGTGTCAACAGAGCTACAGTGACGTCACCAGTGGTAGATCTTCGTCGAACTTCTGGGGCTTGTCCACTACGAAAAACTATCCAGTCTGAAATCTTCGAAACCACTCAGTAATAGTCTTTCAGGACCGGGCAATCGTTCTATTCTATATACAATTTGGCCTTCACTGAGTATGTGTGTTGGCTGTAAATTATGCCGAAACCCGAAGAGCATCACAGGGCAAATTTCTGTTTGTGTTGCTTACGGAATTCCGTCTAATCTATCCTCAGATATCTTGCATTTTCTCGTTTCCACTTTATCCGACCATTCTAAATTTTGAAGGAAAGACTAATAAAGTAATTGTAAGTGATTTAACAAAAACAAATTGAAAGCCACCAATTGACCGAAGTTTTGTTAATCCCCTCGCAAGCATATCGGATAATGGCATCGAATGAGAGTGTGGTGAGGTATTTTATTGAATATAAATGAAGCACTTGCAAAATATGTATGTATACATTTTTTATGCCGTTTCCACATAAACATCACTTGCAAACATGGAGAAAATTGTAATGAATTATATATTCGTTATTATAGATTTGAATTTACAGAACTGTTAAAACATCTTAAAAACTTAATTAAATTATTTAAAATTTTAAAATATTTTTAACCTAAAACAAAATTTTTAAAAAATATTCTTTACCACATCCCTTTTCAATTTAAATTATTATTGCCTTAATTAATTTATTTCCCTAACTCCTCACACACTTGTACTCATAACTTTTCATTTGCCATATTCATTGGAAAATACTGAGCTTCGGTTATATGTTAGTTGGCATTTTCCAGTAAATTAAATTTCATTGCTGTAAAGAGTAAAATTTTCCAATGAACGTTTTGTGATATTATCACTATGAAAATTATCTGTGTA